CGAACTGATGGGTCATCCGCCGTACAGCCCTGATTTGGCACCCTATGACTTCTTCTTATTCCCACACATCAAAAATAAATTACGTGGACAACGATTTTCGACCCCCGAAGAAGCGGTTGATGCATTCAAAACGCATGTTTTGGAGTTACCTCAATCGGACTAGAAAAAGTGTTTTGAAAATTGGTTCAGACGCATGCAAAAGTGTATTGATCATCATGGAGAATATTTTGAAAAACAATAAAACCTATTTCGATCCTACATATTTGTTTTTTCATTATTAGGCCAGAAATATAAATAGCAATCCTCGTGAAGCTGAAGAATTACAGAAAGTGAAAGAAAAATTATATGATTGCAATTTTAACGCTAATAAAATATTTTATTTGAATTTTAAATGTTTTATTTTTTTAATATACAATTGAAAAATTTAAAATACACTCGTTCTAGCCTCTATAAATTTTTTTATGATATTGATCTCTGTAATCATTATTGTTATGTATATTCTCTCACTATAATCATATTTTATTTCTATAAATGAAGTTTACTCAAAAAATTTTAAGAATATTTTCACTCCACAAAAAAATCTTAGTTGTATCTTTGGATATGATATAAATAAATCTTTTACTAATAATGCTGGTTGATATGATAAAATGCATAATTTACCATAAAAATATTTTTTTTTCTGTTTCTTTTCTTACAGCTTACACTCAATTCACATTTTTATGATGATTTGGGACTGGACAGTCTTGATCATGTTGAAGTAATCATTGCAATTGAAGATGAATTTGGTAATCATGATAAATTTCTTTTTTTGCTTTTTAAATATTTAATGCTACATTATTCCTTTAACTTTAAAAATAAAATTTTGCATTTGGGTTGCAACAAGTGTATATGTACAATCCATGTAAAATAAATAAATAAAAAAACTAAACTATAAGAAATAGCCTGAAAGGTTTCATCATTTCAGAGAATGACATCCAAATTTCCTATGTTTTTTTCAAAATGCCTAATCATTTATTCTTCTTTTCTTTTCAAATTCTTTAGGTTTAAGTGCCAATTCTACTTACCTAAAAAATAACTTTCTCTTCTATCCATTTTCTTTAATTCTCCAAAGCTTTACTTTTACCATCTTCTCATCTAAATTCTTAGATTTTTCAAATTAAATCTGTTCGCTCAATCAATGTTTCTTGTAACTAGTTCTTACAACTCTATTGCTAACTCTTTTAACCTGCTTTTGTATACTCTTCTAAGGAAATCCTCAATGAAAATATAGCAGTTTTTTTTATACAGGAAATAACAAGTTTGTTTCTTGTCTTAAAATGTTTTAAACAACTCTAACATTTTTATCACCATGTCCTGTCTTCGATCTTAATATAGACTTTTCCACTAAAAATGTTAATTTCTATGATTTTTTTTTAATATTTGGTCATTTAGTTAAATATCATATTATAATAATAAAATTTAAAATTATGAGATTTATATTCTATTTATTATATGCTGTTGAAGGATTCCTGCAGTCCTTAAAAAACTCCTTAGTTTCGTCAATTAAGGACCATTCATAGTACTTAATTTTGGTTCTAGATTTTTAATAATATATTATTTTCATATACAAAGCTTTAGAGTTAGAATTTTTTTTTTTTTAAAGAGCTACATTGCACAATATTTGTTATTGAACTAATTAAGAAGGATGGGGATGTATGCCAAGGAAATGATGCAAAATCTGGCAATCTCTGCAACATATAATGTGCACTACAGAAATATTTAGATTATTTTGAATGTCAAAAGATTGAAGATCAATAAAAAACTAAAAGAAAATTATTACTTAAGTAAATTCATTTCCTCATATGTTCTTACGGATGAAAGGGAAAAGACATTTCACTTTTTCTTCTTATTAAATACCAATAATGTTAAGAAAAAAAGTAACAGAAAAATCTTTAGAGCTTGAATTGACAGTGGTAAATATTACTGAAAAACATTAAGAATTAGTGTGTATGATATTTCAGTATGTGAGTAGAAACCTACATTGCTTACGAAGCAAAAATTTATTTCTGCATGATTTCGGTAAAAACTTAGATATGCAATTCAGGAAAATGATTAATAAACTTTTAAGCCATTATGAAATTTTAAGAAGAAGAATTTTTTTATTATTTAAATTCCTAATTGTAATTAAGAAATAACCACGACTATACTATAATTACTATATCAGTTTTCCTTGAAACCTAGCAAAATCATGTAATTTTTTAAAAAGGTAAGTTTTTTTTCCCATTAAGTAATTGGGAAATATCTATATTTGTAGTATATATATCTGGGTATATGTATGTTAATAAATAAGTATTATTTTAATACAGACAGTCAAACATCTATTACTAGAATATCAAAATTTTCATAATTTGAAGTATTTTCAAAGTGTTAGTGCAATTACCAGCTTTAGCTTGGAATGTTTTTTCCATTTCTTGAGGTTTGTTGTGTGTATCTTTTAAATAAAAGATTTTTGTTTCCCAAACATCAATTTGAACCTAAAAGACGATTTTTTAGGGGAAAGAAAAACTTTTACTACCTGAGACAAGGGTTGAAAAAAGAACAATAATTTAGGAAAAGTAACTTATTTAATTTTCTCTTTAATTTCATTATTCTGGGGTTAAGTCATAATATTGTCTATTGTTACACTGTAAAATTCTGAATGTAAGAATGCAAAAGGAATTTTTTTATTTCATATAAATTTTTCTTAATGATGTTTTGAAGTTTTCTGATAAAAAAATAATACTGTGCAAAATATGAAAAAAATTAGAAATGAATGTTATGTTTTTTATAATCAAATTGTAATGATGTATGCATTTACTTCGAATGTTTAAAAAATCCAATTAGCAATTTTACAAGAGCTTTTGCCTTAAAAATAACATATCTTATTCAGTTTTTCGATTAGTCGAATTTTTAATAACTTGAAGTGTTTACGGCTTCTGGTGATGCTTTAAGTTATCAAAGTTACACTGTATTTAAAAAGGTCCTTATTTTTTTGTTCTACTAGATGAGTAGGAACTATGTGTTAAGAATATTTAATCTCATATTCATTTTGATTAGTCATTTATGAATAATAGACTTGAATAATTTTCATTTTGTTTCAATAATAAGAAGGTATGAGTGTAGTTCTGAATTTTAAGAGTGATTAAGATTCCTTAAAATGTTTTGAAATGGTTTCTCACAACTTTTGAAAACATTTTATTTTCTCCTTTTTATAATCAATATTATCCATTAATTATATTTCTGAAAACTGTTGTAACTATTTAAAATTTCAAATTAAATTAAGCTTTAAAAATCAGACAAAAAAAACTCTCTAAACTTCAAGGGTTTCTATATTATTTTGAAAAAAAAAAAGTATGTATAATTTTTTAAATAACTTCACATTATGAGCTACTACAATACATTTTAAAAATTCATTGAAAAATTTTATCATAATTGTTTTATGAAATAATAACTTATTTATCTTTTGGTAATCTAGATTTTGAAATACCAGAAGAACATTCTTATCGTTTCATGCGGCCAAAAGACTTTGTAAGATATGTTGCTGACCGATTTGATATTTATGAATAAGTAAGTATATCTTGTTATCAGATGTTGAACTCATATAATCTTGTTGTATATCGTACGTGAAACTCTTCTAAAAGAAATCTTAAAATAATTAGAAATGACAAAATTAAATTTGTGAAGTAAAAAATCTAAATTTTTCAAATAGAATTGGCTTGAAGCCTATCAATAAATTGCCTGCACAATTTTCTATCTCCATATAGCAGGGTGACTGTCTCCTGATAAATTACAGCAACGCCTAGTTTTATCCCCCTTACAATATATATAAATATCCACAAAAGATATGCTAATTGATTAATGCTGATAATAATTTATATCAAGCACAAAATTTTTTTTTGTTAAAGGTATTTATTTATTTATTTATTTTTTTTGGTATTTGGAAGGTATTTGGCCAGCGAACAAAACTATTGGTACACATGTACCAATAGTTTTGTTCGCTGTTAAACATCACCTTCCATTGAGCATCATAATCAGGTTTTAAATACATCATTTAATAATATTTATTTGTGGATAGTGCCTTAAATCCTCATCAATATTAATTTTGGTTAAGAAAATTAAGAAGTTTTGTATGCTAATAAAATGTTTTTCAATTTCAGATCAGAATCCGCATATACTCACTTTACAGAGAATCGTTATGTGTAGATTTTTGAAGATAGTAAATAAAGTTTCTTGTTTATTTATATTGTAACTTTTTTATAAATTGCTCTTTTTATTGTTTGAAAAAATACTAAAAACATTTATTTTCTTGAACATACAGGATTTCTCAAAAATATATCTGTAGTTTATTACCTTTTTTAGTAGTTCACAGATTAATTATAAATGTGTACATTTATGATTAATCTGTGAACTAGGTAATAAAAAAGGTTTGCTAACTTATCAATATCAGAAATTATGCAGACAAATGATCATCATTTTGTTATTTTTACATTATGTCGATTAGTTCATATATGTTAGACAATGCATGAGGCATATGCCAAACACTGAGAAGCATACAAAATAAAAGTTGAGCTCTTTCTGTGAGTCCCAGCCAACACTGCTTTTTATATTGAAACAACCTGCGATACCTATTTTTTACATTTCTCAAAAAAAAAAAAATATTAATATAAAATGATTTATATACTGCCCTAATGAAAAGTTTTAATTTCAAAGAAATGTATATTTTGGGTATACTTTTTAATTAATAATNAAAAAAAAAAAAATATTAATATAAAATGATTTATATACTGCCTTATTCATTACAGCTCTAATGAAAAGTTTTAATTTCAAAGAAATGTATATTTTGGGTATACTTTTTAATTAATAATATATTGAAACTCTAATAAACTAAGTCTCCAAACTAGTTTTCAAAACTTGCATCTTGGGTAAATTATCAATTATTGCAAATAATAGTCAGTAAATTTGATATCAAAGTTAAGTAAAAATTTAAATTCACAGTTGTCATTTGATTTTTGGTAATTAAATAAATAAAGAAAAAATAATGTCAAAGAGGTAACCTGACAAGTCCTGTTTCCTGTAAGAAATCGGTTGAAACATATCATTCTAATTGACATCATTAAATTAAAAGTACAAATATCAACATTATAAAAAAAAAGTGTATTGTAAAATAGTAAATTTCTTAGTGCAGCTATTTTTCTTAAAATCCACATTGTAGTTATTTGAATTTTTCAAGAAGTATTATTTTTGATAAATATAAAATACTGCAACAAAGTAATATATTTTTTTTCTATATTCATAAAACAATATCCCAAGAATATTAAAAATTGAAACAAATTTATATTGTTTTAAAATTTTAATGAACAATGAAATGTATAACAATAATTATAATTCTCCCAGCAATGTTTATAAATGTACGAAGAATAAATATCAAAAGAAATCTCTGATGAAAAATGTGACCAATTTCACCCAAAGTGACACTTTCCGATCAGGTCTATCAAATAGACTTTTATCAATTACTGTAGTTCTGTCATAAAGCCTTTGCTGTTCCTAAAAATAAAGTAATTATTAAAAAACTCAATATGAAGAAAAAATCTTTGTGATAAACGAATTAATTCATTTTGCCATTTGACAGTAGCATTGGTACATTTTAATTCCTATAAACTGGATCTTATTTTTTAAAAAAAAAAAAAAAAAAAAAAAATGTAAAGTCAAAATTGTAAGAAAAAAATTAATGTTCAAACAAAAAAATTTCATTTTGGAATTTTTTTTAAATTTAGTTTAATGTCAATTTCACTATGCATTGCAAACCAAATTTATTCCAGACCACGAAGAACTGATTTTATAATAGTTATGAAAAATTTTAAGCACCGGTTTTTATTCTAATTTTTATTAAAATTTGAGGTAATAACAAAAAATTTATGAAAAAACTATGTGTAAACACTGTAAAAAATTAAATTCCATTAAATGAAAGAATATTCTCACTAGCTAAACTTTAGATAATTGCAAAACTTTATTCTTACAAGTTTTCCAATTATTTCTCTTACTTATTTTGGAAGTTATTTTTTATTGCATACATAATGATAATAAAGTCTATATTTTTACTTAAAATAATAGATTTTTCTCTTCCTTTTCTTTAACAAATCTTTAAAAAAAATTAAATCATATACTAATAATAAAAAACTTTACAAAAGAAACAATTAAGAATAATTATAATAAACATAAGCAACAATACTGATTGGTAGTTGTATTGCATCTACAAGAAATAACATAACATTCGTGTCTATATTGTTTCTTATTGTCATTTAAAATTAACTTATTTAAGCAAGTAGAAATGGAACTGAGTGAAAACGACTTACAAAATATTTTGTTGGTCACTTGAAATAATAAATTCTATGTAGTCATACTACAAAGCAAGGTGCAGTATACATCCAATTACGCAAACAAGGTTAAGGTAAAATTAAGACACTTTTCAGAAATTCAGTGCCGACAGAAAGTTTTGATCTATATTTTTAAAAATAACAAAAAATTAGTTAAAAAATTTTATTGTAGAACAATTGTAAAAATTTTTCCCTGTAAACAAATTTAGCTTCTTTCATTATGATTTTTTAAGGAATTTTCTTTAAGCTTCAGAATTGGAAAATAACTAGAAACTGATAATTATGTTGATATACAAAAGCAAATAAGGCTGAGTATGGTAGTCCCTTCCATGTTCAAAGTCTATCCTTCAACCAAGCAAGAATGACCCAGCCTTTCATCTCTTCAGTACCAAGCACACTTGGGGACTAAACGTGTAGTAGAACTGACCATCCAACTACACCCGCACCTCTGAGCCCAAGGTCAAGAAAATTAGGATGGACACAACTTATGCTACATGGCTGATGCACCCCTGCATTTAGCTTAAAAATCACACAAGAAATCGACGGCTCTTTTTACAATTGGCTGAAAGAAGTAATAAATTTGAAAGCCACATATCAAAAAAAAACTAAAACAAAGGATCATTATAATCTTTCCATATATTTTAAATTCACTAATATTAACAATCTTCAAGTTAGAAAAATTAAAGAAATTTCATTTTCTTTAAATTGCAGAAAACCTTTAAAATAACACATAAAACTTGATGCAACATAATCTAATGAAATGATGACTAATGATTAACTTTTAAAAAAACTTAGTACTTTGAATAAAGTTCATTAGTATGGATTACTTTCTCCGGAATTTATACCTATTTTATCTTGTCTCCGAAGTGCTGATGATCTTGTCATGTATTGATATGAAGAAAATGAAGTCAACAAAAAGTTATTAATATTTCAAGCTCTGTCTGGCCTTTCAAATAATATTTCTGTTATGTTAAATATAATACAAATAGCTTAATATGCTAGTTTGTTTATTTATGAATTTGAACTCCCAAGTTCATGAGGTTTAGTTTATATAAATTCCCAAGTTTATAAATTAAGTATAATAAACTATTACTATTTCAATATATTTTGATTTTTATTATTTTTAACACGTATGCTAGTTTATTCAAGAGTTATGTAAAATCAAATACATTTTTTTTGTTAAAGAAAAAATAACAAAAAGTTTCAGCAATATTCAAAAAGTTTTTCTAAAAATATTTCGAAAAAATTATTGTAACTAAAAAAAAGCACTATAATTTTGGAAGAAATTTCAAACCTATAACACAACAAACATTTAAGCTTTGGGCATTTTTAAAGCCCTGATACAAAGAATATTTCTTTTTTATTTTGATGGTCTTATTGAGAGCTGATAATGGCAATATATTATTGGAACAGGAGAGTACAGATTTAAATGATTAATGAGATTAAAATTATTTATTTTGTAAGCAAAAATTTTTATTCATAGAGAAATCAAATAAATTCCAAAAATTGCATTGTATAATTTCAAAAACTAAAAAATAAAATAAAATTAAATTTTCAAACAACTTTTTATGAAAAATTAAATAAAGAGGAGAAAAGAATAGAAGTAATATAAATTATAATACTACTTATACTTACATTATGCAGTTGAAGTTGTAGATCTTTGCTTGAAGTTACAATTGCAACTTGTGCCTCAAGATCTTTGTACACTGATCTATAACCTAAAGAAAAAAAGTATATAATTTTATAACTTCAATACAAAAATGCATCAATTTTTTGAGTAATTAAATAACATATCAATCTATTTGTTACTTATACAGTAAGGATTAAATTTATAAGATTGCCAACTTCAGTTATTTAGAGTATTCAGTTAATAAACGAAACAATAATATTATGGTCAGGTTTTAAGCAGTTTGAAAAAAGTTACTTTTTCAGAATTTTTCTTAAGAGGCCCTTGCTCTCCTGGCCGAATCAACTATCTAAGGAGTGGAGACGAGAAGGGAAAGTTCTAAATGTGCTTTTAATCCCTTTTATTTAATTTTCACAGATAAACTGATGATCGATAGTTACACTATTTGGCAGTATACATGTAAAATACAACGTTGCAACCCAATCACAATATAAAATATAAAGCTTGAGGTATTTTCGATTATCTATTAATTTTTTTGACAAAGTTATGCCAATACAATTCTGAAATTTACAGTTTCTAATAAATAAATAAATAGCATACAGTTGCCTGATTTTAGATTTTTGATAAGCATTTTCAATTTCATGCAATTAACAATAAATGAATTTTTTAGCATCATCTAAATTGGTTTTCATCAGTTTAAACTGTAAAAAATTAAATATTAAAAAAATCTAAAAACTGAGAAGCATGTAGCCTTGAATCATTTACACAAAAACACAAATCTCATGATTTTATTGCTAAGTAAAATCATGATTAGATTAAGTTTTGAGAAAAAATTCTTAGACGTTCTAAAAATTATCAAGTGCTATTTCTCCTAATCTAATAAAGCGATCCCTTTATTTTCTACCTTTTTTTAAAGGAATCGCGCTGCCTAATAATACTATATCATCAAAAAATTTTTAAGTACAAAAAAATATGACGGAAACATAATTTAAAAATTTAAACTAAAGTCTAAGATGGCGAGAGTAGAAGAAAATGTAAAATAGAAATATTAGAGCTTAATACAAAAGAATAGAAATATTAGTATTAGAAAGGTCATCACTTCTACATAAATATTTAACACTTTAAAAAATAATTAATAATGAGGTGGTGGATTCAAAAATATACAGAAACAAAACTTGCATCATGGATAGTATCAAAACTCGCTCATTCTCACTTTACTAGTGGACATTCTGTGTATGTTACAGATAAAGAAAGAATAAAAGATTTAATTGGTTTAAGTGAGGATTACCAATCCTAGTTATCGGAGGAATATCAAAGAATTTCCAACAATTTCACCTTTAACCAGCTAAGACATGTCTAACCAATGTTAGTCAGTTATGTTGCAAGTGTTGATGAAGCAATATGTTACTACAAAGATTCTCATAATGTGAGCTGAGACACCCCGGGGTAACAGATACAAGGGGTACCACTAGGTGCCCAATACTCTCCAATACTAAGTCTAATATTGATCCTTTAATTATAACATGTTCTTATTTAAAAAAATATTAAATTCAAAACAAGTTTTATTAAAAAAAAGTTTTGATGAGCTCTGAGCCTTGCAACCCTTGTAAATTTGGCCTTAAATTGAAGATGAAAAGAAATAGAATTAAATATAAAACAGTACCTACAAATTTTGACAAAGGTGAATAGTAGACTCTCCCTAAGCATGCGTAAATTTTAATTTAGAATATTTTTTTTGCCCATCGCTGATGAAGTCTTTATTCAACCATGTTCCATTTAGTACATTAATTTTCAAAAGATATGAACCAAAGACGGCAGGAAGAATAATAAGTTATGTACTTACAAGAAGTAAAACAAGCTGTGTAGCTATTGTTTATAATTCAGTCAAATATAAAGTAGTTTTATAAGCTATTTTATAACAAGAGGGAAATTTTTTAAAATTAAGCATTGTTAATTTGCCTACTATATATATATATGTAACATTGAATTGCTAAATTTGATACTTACCAAAATTTGGCGATCCAATAAAGGTAACAGATGGCAAGGTTTCATCAGGCTTGTAGTACCACAGTCCTTTTACATGGAATGTCCAATCAGATCTTTCATATTCACGAAGTTCAATCCTGTTTTGCTGTCTGTAGTTTAAAACTTTGGAGAAGAAAGTTTTGGCTATATGAGTGTATGCCATCGGTATTGCACCTGAGACTCCTGATGCACCATAAAAACCATTAACCTGCATAAACAATAAATATCATTCTACATTAGGTAAGCATAAAACATGTGCTAATTCAATTATTTAATTTAAAATAAAATTTCCTACTGTTTACAAAAAGTTAATGTTTTAATGACAATTGTTAAAGGTAACACATTGAAATAATAATGATTAAATTAAACTAAATTTGATAATCCACATAATAAATATGTATTCTATAACAATCATGCTGATTTATATTGTAAAAGCAGATCATTCTCTTATAAATGTAGGGAATTATAGAAAGCAAATATTTTGAAGTAAAGAAGGGTAATATAATGATGAGCCACATTTTAGTTTTAAGAGTGTTTTTTTTTTGGGGGGGGGACATCAGTATTTCCATGTAAGCAAGAAGTTTTTGTGTATCACAGTGTAATGAAGAAAAAAAAATTCTGAAAACGGTTTATTCAAAAATATCAAAATCGTAAGTTTCTGAATTCATATGAACGCAACTTTCTGAAATTATATGTAAACTATGCTAATACATGTATGTAACATAAAAAGCTTCTATTAATCTCTTTATGTTATTTCTTTACTATAAAGCAATTCCTAATTAATTCTTCGAATCGAAACGCTTTCTCACACTTTTAAATTTACACCCTGTTCTTAAATCTATTTTTGGCTCAAGTATGCATAATTAAAAGAAAAGACATTTTTCCCTTTACTCTTTGTGGGAATCACACGACCTATTTAATAAACCAATAGTAATTTCTAAGATTTCCCTCTTTTCCCTAAATAGAGACATTTTCAGATTTTTTGCAAGATTTTCCCTATTAGAAAGACTGATTGTCGATAGAGTAAACGACACTTTTCGCTTGCCACTCAATAAAGAATGATCAAATAAAACTATTTTGCTTTCATTAAAATCCTGTGTCTGTTTTCCTGCTCGGTCCGACTGCCATCATTTTGCATGTATATATGTAAAGTTTTAAATTATCCTTAAAAACAGGCTAATTTAAACTATGCAAGTTTGTGAATTTTTTAAATTTTTATCTTGAAAACAATAAGGAAGTTTTTAATTGCATGGAGAGTGACATAACGACAACACAAATTTAATATTATTTATAAGAATAGTGAAACAATTTAAAAATACAATAGACAGCTGAAAGACAGTTATCTTCAAAGTAAAAAAAATCGAGACATAGATGGTGCGTAAAGTTGCCATTTGAATAGTTTCTTTTGTGGTCCTATGTGATTGTCTATTTTGCCACCCCTAAACACAACTTGCATCACATCATATATTCAAATAAAATACAATTTGTTTGAAATCAGACATCTTACCTTAGGAGAAGCGACTAGCAAACTGTACAAAGCCTTTGAAGATTTTAAAATAATACTCATGTAATGATTTGTCAGATTAAAATAGCCAGAAGCTAACTTGATGCATGAATTAGGTTCCGCTAGACGAAGAAATTTTTCTACAACCTGTTCATCTTGTCTAATATTGAAAGTGTGCATTTGAAGTAATGGGTATACTAGGGTATCACTCTTTTTTGAACCATGCTCCATACAGTTATTCAGGTGGATGGATCTGTTTTTAACTGGGCATATGAATTTCTGGAGATATTTATTGGCTTTTGTAACAAATTCTTTAAAACTACCTAGAAGCAAAAATTTAAAATATTATTTTAAGCCTACAAAGGTAAATAAAATCCAATACAAATAAAATTAAATGTTAACATTATTTTGAAATCATAATATTTAACTATATAGCAGATTAAATATGCACTATGATGTTAAAAAAAATAAGTTAACTTAGAATTTGTAATTTGAAAAGCAAAACTCTAAAGAATAACACTAAAAGAATTAATAACAATAAGAATAACTGTATATTAATTTTTCATTTGATAATTTATATATTCTAACTAGCAGATATTTCCAGATTAAAATTTGCTTATGATACCTGTTTGAAGCTAAAAAAATTGACATTAATAATTTATTTATTACTACTATTATGAAAAATAAGAAAATAAAAATTTTAGGAAAAAAAAATCATTTACTATATATATATATATATAAATATATATATATAACTTAAATTTCTTATACTAAGTTAAAAAATATAAATTCTACATTCATTTAAATTTCTAAATACATATGAAATTAAAATAGATGACCAGAATGAAATTATCTAAGCTACAGTCAACATGGGATACAATTTACAAAAAATGGTAAAATAGACCATTTCAATAAGGAGACAGAAGGTCTTGAAATAAAGCGACAAAAAAAAATCACAGAGTATTTTTACCTTAACATTGTACACTGAGTTAATAGCAAAAAAATTTCATCAATAAAATCTGTTTTTTTTTTAATTCTTAAAATTCCCTTTTTTACACTTAGAAATGAATATTATTTTTAAAAAATTTAACAAAATATAAGAATTCATCATAATGAAAAAGTTTCCTCGCTAACACTACGTAATAATTTTGAAACATTTTAAATTAAAATTATAATAAAAATCCATTTACATTAAAAAAAACTTTTATATTAAAGGTAGTTCATTATAATTTAAAGACTTGAAACAGTTAACAAACTTTTTTAGATCTAAAATAAGATTTTAATTATTATTAAAATATATTAAGAATTATACTCTAAAAAAATTGCAAATGAGATTAAATATTTGAAATTGTGTTCACATTTTTTTCATGCAATCTTTTCAAATTTCTTAGAAGAAAAATTTAGAGAATTTAGACATATATATTAAAGCACATATGATAGAATTGTAAAATTACGTAATTTTCACAAATAATTTAAACTTACTATTTTAAATAAAAGGTTTAGTTAGTTAGGATAAGTATACTGATTATGTTATATTACACTTTAAAGATATTGGTATGTTTTTTGATTTAAGATGTAGAGATCTGTACAAAAATGTCACCAGAAATAACTTTAATACAACCCCCCCCCTTCCAAAAAAAAAAAGGCTTGATATTCAGTATGGTGCACTTCCACAATTAGCAATAACTATTACTTTTTTATGACTATATTTATGTATAAGTTACAATGTTCAGAATTTTTTTTTTTGCTGAGATAATTTTACTTAAACAGGTTTTTGCAGAATATTATTATTTCATGTTTGCATACATACTTAGAAATCTGAATAAAGTTCATAAAAAGAGTCAATTGGATGGGCAAGATTTTAATACAACCAATTAAGAAGAAATATTTATTTAAAGAAGATTTTTCCAGCATGTTAAAATTTTATGTTTGGAAATAGAATTCCTAGACTAAGTAAGGTAGATCAGGAGAATAGATTAAATAGGAAAGGTTTTAATACTAAAATTTAGATGAAATATTCACTTGAAGAAGATTTTTCCATTGTGCTACTTCATGTTTGAGAACATATTTCATAAACTGAATAAGGTAAATTAGTGAAATAGACAGCAATTGAACTTCTTTGCAAAATAAACAATGAATATTCAAAGGGGTTGATGTGATAAAAAAAATATAGCATCCCAACCCCATATATTGCCCCATATATGTGTGGAAAAAAACTCACCTACTAATTACATAAATTAAAGTCATAAAGAGATGTAATATGTAATCAATGTTTCAATAAATATTGTAAAAATACAAGTATGACTTTCAAAATTTCTCACATAAAAATATTTTACTCTTTTGAAGAAAAAAAGAAATCTTAATATCTTAAAGAAATCTTAAAAAAGAAAGATACCTTCTGATGGGTGTATATTCCAGTCAGAATGCAAAATAACAGAATTGTCAGGTTTTAATAGGAAGGACATTGATGATATAGTTGACACTAAATCATCAAAATAGTCACACAGCTCTTTACAGTCATTAAAGACAACATATCTGTCTTGACGATTACTAAAGTATTGATCACTCAAGTTAGCCCTAAAATAATTTAAAAAAATTACATACATCACAGATATCTAAAAAATAATACTAAATAAAAATGTCAGTATTTTATTCTTATCAAATGTCTAGCTTCAAAATTAAGTAAATCACTTTTGACAATGTTTTAAGCAAATAAATAAATAATGAATGCCTAAAAACCCAAATTGATCATTAAAATGATAATGTAACTTACATAGAATTTGATTCCAGAAAAACATTTTTTACTGAGATGTGAAAATAAACATTATACTATAATTTTCAATTTTTTTTTTAAATTTGTATTTTCTTTCAAAAAATTAAATAAATAGTTTTCAAATGAGATTGAAGAATAAATAACATTAATTGTTTAGCAATGAATAAAATCCATTATGATAAGTCTTAAAATTGACCGCATTAGATGCTTATCTTTGAGGTCAACTCATAAAAGGGGTGAAAAATTCAGTTTTATATTGTTTCTTACATCCTCAATTTTCTTAACTATAGTAGTTAGAAAATAATTCCTAATTGACAAAAAGAAGACTGCAATAACTTTATTTTTAGGAAGAAAAAGAGAAAACTCCCAAAATGTTCAGCTAAAATTTGGCCTAACAAAGTGATTAATAAAAGTAAAGCGTAGGGGAAGTCCTGGTTTATTTGTATTTTTACCAATTCACATAAATAATGAAAGGCCAGAAATAATCTAACTCTAAATATTTATTGAAAAGGACAAAACACACATAAAATAAAACAAGAATAAAAAAATACAAGAATTTGGAAGAGGGGGTTTTGGGCTCGAATTAAATGTCCGTACTTTACGGCGGTTCCCAGCAGACTGTCTAAGTTCACCGCCAGAGGTGTTGTAGTGGGGGAAAGAGGAGAGTTTGCCACAATAGTTCAAATGCAATATCATCCTTCTGTTTATGGCTGGTACAACAGGTATCCTTTCCTCGATATCCTTTTTATTACCAAAGTACAATTTTTTTTTAAAGATACAGTGATCTCTCATTTATGAGCGGAGGTCAAAGGAAAAACGTTTATAAGTGAGACACACACAAAAGTGAAAAGTTAAAATAAAGAGTTAAAAAATAGAATAATAATACATTTTACTACATTTTATTTCTAATTAACACAATGTATACTCGACTGAACATTTAAGTACGAGGAGGTTTAAGATTTAATGAACTTAATAAATAAATAAGTATTTGAAAGAAAAAATAGAAGAAAAATACTTAAAAACTTAATTGTTGTTTTATTCCAATTATTAATTTATCACAAAACAATTTACAATCGAAGTTTTTTTTTTTCTAGAGTTCTCAAAAAGAGTCTTTTTGAGTCAAATCAGTTGAATCTATGCTCATTGTTTATCTCTTGTTAAGTTATGGGATGACATCATAAAAGTTCGATGTAGGGAGTTCATTGAGAGTGGTGACAAACCATGTTCGTGAGACAATGTTTTTATCTTGGGAGAAGCCAGTTACAACTCAACTCTTCACCTACTTGTAAAATAATTTATGCAAGATGCTCAGTAACTTGTAATTGGTTGATGACGCCAAATCTCAATGTTTAAAAAGCTGAGACTTCACTAGAATGCTCTCTCTTCCACTGTTTGTTAAAGCTACTATGTAAGGTTCCTTAAGAAGAGGAGTCCATGCTCCGGCATGGAACTCGGTTATATGTAGTTATGATTATGTTAAATTTTTCTTTCATCTAATCATTTGCACTTCACTCATGTGTCACAATTGTCAAATAAATATATATTTCTGAAAGAGCTTTGTTTTCCTGAGTTCACTCACTAAGTAAATTCACTCCGATATCTATTTATTTATTGATGTTGTCAGGTAAAGGAGGCCTATACTAGTCCACCAGAAACGTGTATAAGAAAGGGACTGCATAAGTGAGAGATCATTGTAGATATTTTTACCAAATTTTAACAAATTTCATTAACTAATCAAATAATATGTGCTTGCATGCTTGCAAAAAATCCTATTTGAAAAATTAAAGCAATTTTTTTTCCAACACACAATTGTTATATTTTCCTATTATAAATAATCTAATATAGCGTTACAAATTGCATCTTAAATTTTCTTTTATTTTAGCAATAATTTTTTAAAGGCTAAATATCATTCTAGCAATTTTGTAAACTCAAATGAAAAACATCCTGATTTGCAATCTGGTTATTTATGTTGCATAATCTATAAAGTTAACACTTTTTTTAAATAATTTCAGGGAAAACATTTCTATTTTATTTAACTATAAATCCATTTATAAAAATTTTATTCTAATAATACTTGATATCTTTTTTATTGCCCAAGCACTATTTTTGAAAGATAGATTTTTTTACTAAATTCTAAAACATTTCATTAATTAATCAATAACAGAACTAAGTCTAAAGTTGACTTTAGAATTAATTAATAGAATTGGATATAAATTATTACAGAAGATTAATATGACAATTTTAAAACATCTCCCAAAAGCACAATTTTTTTAATCTTAAATACTTAAAGTTAACTTAAATTTGTGTTACCCTGTAAATATTTGCTTGACTCATAGGTTACAAATTATAAATGAGGAATTAACATTTTATATTTTCTTAAATTTCTGACAAACAAACTACTTTAGCTTGAAGGAAATAGTCCTAAATTGTTATTAAAATATAGATCATAATCATATTTAACATAACAACCCAGAATAAGACAAGATTTCTGTTCAAGATCTTTCAGGACAGCCTGTTTCTAGACTTGGTCAATTCCTCACAATATTCACTCAAAAATCTGATTCAAGCGTTAATGTCTGCAATCTTTGAACATGTTAAAGAGTTAAGGTCATATCTAGATTTTATATGAACGGTAAATGCTTAGTTATGAAGAATAAAAAAAAAGCATATGTTTTACCTATTCGTATAACCCACTGACATGCAATTTTTTAAAATTTTTTATTATTTTCAATACAGTTTAATACAGTCTTCTTCATATATACACACTTGATGGGGAAAAACAACAACATTTTTTTGCATAAAAGCATCTTCAATAAATTCCCTAACTCAGATTTTTTATAATTTAATGTATGAAAAGAAGTAAGCAATAAAAATCCTGATTCTAAAATAAATAAGTAATGAAACTTTTGATACAGAAATATTCATAATTAATAAAAAATACAATAAAAATTTTAAAATAAACAAAATAATTGCGCTAAAAGAAATTATAAGAAAAACTTACCCACTTAATATAAGGGTATCATCAAATAAATAAACCTTTAAATGAGACAGTCCAATAGTTTCATTCCATCTATCAGGCAAAATCCACTTTATAAGGCCTCTTAGTTTAGGAGTGTGATACAAGGAAACGTTGAATTGTGATGGGTAATGATTTAATAAAGGCAAGAGAAGAGTTCTTGAATTTTCTTTCCCTCTGGACCCCCTCGTATAATCTAGAAGAATTTTCACTTGCAGACCTCCATTTGAGTTCTGTAGTCCTTCATTTATGGATGAAATCTGAAAATGAATTTAAAATATAAGAAATGCAAAATTTATCTTTTGTTATTATGAGATTTGTTTTTTTTTGTTTTTTTTTCATTTTGAAATTCTTTTTTTCTATTTCAAACATTTTTCATGACTTTTGAATAATATTTTTCATTTTAAGAGCTTTTTGCTTGTGAACTAATTTTTTCTCTATAAATTAGAGTATATTTTGCATTAAATCTCGTTAATTTAAGTTACAAGAGTTGATGTTGAACGAAGATTTTCATAATATGAGAATATGCTTTTGAACCTTAGTCAGTCTTTCTAATTTAATAATATCAAAAAACATTTGATAATAAAATGCAATTTTAATGTTCATAATAACTGTAACTTAAAATTAATAAATCGTTTATCAGGTATTTATTAACATTTTATTTTATTCATAAATTACTCGTTTACTTAAATATTTACCTTATTTTCTACTAAATTTATAAATACAAGTAGCAATTAAAAAATATTTAAAAAAAATTGACATAAAGCAGGTTTTTTAAAAATTTTAAGAGCATTATTTTTTATCTTAAGGTAGAGTTTTCCCTGGAAATTAAAAAAGGGGCAGGGGACTCCCTCACAGAAAAGAACACTTTGAGTTTTGAAAGGGCACTCACTTAACACCGTAAAAATTTATCAAAGTATGTAATATTACACAATATCTTAATTTGATCTTCAGCAAATTTTAAATTAATTTTATACTATTTCATGTGAGTATTTCAATAAGTAATTCTCACTCATTATCATAATTAGAGAAAAGTTTGAAGTTATAAAAAATAATTTAAGGTATGCTAAAAGGCAACCAGTGTGCATAAATTTTTTTTTAAAAAAAAAGCAAACTAAAAAAAAAAAGAATAATTAATAAACAACTTAAAACCTTTTTTCTACAAATTAAACTAAAAATTATAAGAAAATAAGCATTTTTTTTAAAAAAGAAAAAAGTATTTATTTAAAAAGAAATTTTAAAATCACTTAAAAAATTCATTAATATACTCAACTCCCTCCCACCCCCAAATTTTAGAAACTTATAAAAATTTAACCAGCTGAGAATAATCCTAACAACTAAAATATTTATAATAGTAATCAGAATAAAATCTATAAACACAGATAATTTTACTATTATTTAAACAGTAAGTTAAGTTTTTTTTAAGTGAAATATGAATAAAAAGGGATTTTTAAGGGATGGCAGCTTATTCTTATAAAAAGGACAAAGAGGGTGCATCGAAGAGCAGGCAGGGGAAGGGGGGCTTTTAAAAATGCTTATGGAGAACACTGCTTAAGGTTATTTGCGATGGTTTTTAAAGGCTTTTTATTTATTTTTTACCTTTTTTATTAAGACTTGTTAGGTCATTTACATCATAGCCCTAATGACAAGGTTGGCAAGTTTCTGCCGAGGTGGTTAAAACCACTGGTAGAAACCGGTTAAAACTGGCATGGCAAAAACGCTTTTCTGCCACATTTGTGGCAGAAATTCAGAAAATGACATAAAAGTAAGTACTGAGATTGACATACAATGGATAATTCATAGAAAAAACAATTAAATGTTAAACAAAGTACAATTTATTTACAAAATCATCACCATTCAAAATAAAATATTGCATTGTTTGCAATCTGCAGTAATATATAACAGAAGACAAGTTTTGATGCAGTTTCTAAACCTAAACAATTTCTCAATTTGCTATGCACGAACGAGAAATTTGAGAAGATTTTCTCAAATCCAGCAGAACAAGCTGGCACTGCCATTCACAAAAGATTCAAACTGTTACTGTTATGATAATTGGATTGTTGTCATGCAAATTATGTCTTGGAAAAGAAAAAAACTATTTGAAAATAGCTCTATTCAGTTATGTTAAGAGTTAAATGATAATTACTGAATTTCAGAATTTAATATAATAAACTAAAATCTAGTAATTATATTTATTATTACATTACTTTATTCTTCATTTTATATAAATATTTGATATACTGCACTCTTTATATTTAACATAAACAAAATAATATATATTTACAAACAATGAATTAAAAAGTTTGTTAATGTTACATGGAGTTAAATTTTTCAGTTTACTTAAACAAAATGTCATTAAGCAATTACTAGAACTAATATAGAAGTTCTTTTTAGTTTCTGCCAGTTTTTACCGCTTATAACCAGTTTCTGCCACTGGCATGGCAAAAACCGGTTTCTGCCGGCAAAAAGCCAACCCTGCAATGATAACATAAAATAACATATTAATTTTAAAAGAAAGTACTCTTAAGTACTTAAATAAAATAACAGATAAATTTTAAAAAGTTCAGCTATTTTAAGAAATCTCAAACATTTAAATAAACAAAAATAATCTGTTTTTATGCATAGTATCTCTTTTTATAATTAATAATAAAAATAGCTTTACCAATTCCTTTTCTAAAGCACCATTTCCAATATATAATGAGGCTAGTGTAATTCTTTTAGTAGCAGTTCTAGATAAATCCTACAAATAAAAAGTAAAATTATTTTTTGAAATCATATAATTATTATGAAACACTTATGAAAAAAAATAACTAAGAAAATTGTTACTCGTCTTTTTTTAATATTTTTGAATAGTTTGCCCATCAAAATATTTTTTAAAATTAATTTCAATAAACAGTTATGCTTAAAAATATATATCCTCACAAGAGAATTATACCTCCATAATGGTGTAATGCTAATAAATAAAGGGGAAAATGCTCAATTTGGCATTCAGCAACTTTAATTACTTTTAAAAACAAACAATTACTACTTACTTTACTTAGTGGTATCATTTTAAATGTATAGAACTAATATATTATAAATTTGCAACCTAAACAGAAAGAGAATCTAAGTATGCAGAATTTTAGACTTTCGGTGAATTTTTCTAAAAACAAATAATCAGTATTATAACAATATAATCAGTATTTTCAGAGAGGTACATCTCATACATCTTTTCCTTTATGGATTTTTCTGATAATCTGGAAGCCAATAATTTGTAATTATCCAAATCTGTTACTGTTCATTTAAAAAAATGTAAGTAATTTTCAGTCAAGCATACAACATTAAACTACTTTTTTGCATAATTTTATTACTTTCATTTTCTTGATAAAAAATCTAAAGTGATTATGTGTTAATTATGTACCGAAAATATCAAGAAAACAAAAATCCAAAATTTAATCTACATTCAAAGATAAAGAAGATTGGAGGCTCCAAATCACTTGAATATTAAAATAATTTAAACTTGATGTAAGGAATATTTTACACAGAATATCTTGTAAGCTTTGAACTGTTATAATACATATTACCGTACATATTGTAACATTAAGAAACAGTAGAATTTAATATTTAAAAGATTTCCTTTTTACATATTTTCCTATTCAGAGTGAGGCCTTACTTAATATGTATTACTAATGGTCCCATTAGATTTTCATTAAATTTATTAAAATAGATATGAATTTTTTTTTTTTTTGATTTTGCTCAACTAATAACAAAATTTTTCATTATTTAACTTTCCATGTATTTATTTAACATTTTAATCTATTGCTTAATTTTTTTTTTACCAACGCTATATAAAGCGCAGGGTCCTTAACAAATTGAGTTTTTTTAGACTCCAAAGTTAAACAAGAATCTTCAGCTATTATTCACATGGACTACATTAAATATTTTTCTTAAGATTTTTTGTCCAAAAATCAATAATATCTTTTTGTTTAACTGGGTTATTGCCTAGTAATTACCCCTACAGAGGAGAATCGGTAAAATTAGTGTTTTATAAATGCTAATTTTATTTAAAAGCATGAGACTATCCACAAAAACACTCTTGCCTCACCCTTACAACAAATATATTTTCATTACATGGAAAAAATAGTAGAAAAAATTTACCTAATAAGTATCTCTTATCTAGCGAATATCAAAGAGAAAAACCTGATTGTTACATGGGAAAGCAACCAGGTTTAATCCAGAATTCAATTCCCATTCATGAAGTTTCAGCAAACATGAAAAAGTTTCCATTAAACTTAATCATGTAAAATTGCATCATTTTCATTAAATATTGTCTAGGTAAAATTACAATTTATTATAAATACCATTAATTACAAAACCAATTTTTTTTTCTGAAAATTTAAATAAAACTTTCAATTTTATAAACGAAATGTATAATCCAGGCACAAAAAATTAACTAAATAAATAAATAAAATAAACATTTTGTTACATAAAGAAATTTGCACTTAAGAATAAATACTTTTAATTTTTCAAAGAAGTCAGAAGGTTCTTGAAGGATTTGAATATTTCTACTTGAAACACTGAATTCTGGTGAATAATCAGATAACCAAGCTAAATGATGACTGCATTCTTTCATGGTTTTTTTCTCATACAAATTAGGAGCTATAGAAATAGGAATCTGGATGGCATAAGCAGTCAAGCCACTAAATATCCCCCACAGTTTTTCAGGGTGAAGTAAGAGAGAGCTATGAAATACATACAAAATTAATACAAGTTAAAAATGAATATATACAAGTACACAATTAGATTAGAAAAAATAATTTACAATCACATGAAAGAATACATCTCATTCTTTCATGTGATTGTAACTCTAATGGTTTCACACTCAAATTAAACATAAACATTTAGCTTCATAAGATAAACATTAAATGACATGGGAAATATTATACTTTGTCTATAGAAAGAACTTCCCTCATCGCAAAGTCTAAATCCATCTGCTGCTATGGAAACAAAATATAGCACATTTCAAAGAGGGGAACTACTCTCTTCCATGATTCCTTTTTTTGCTTGTTTTTATGCAAACCTGAGTCCAAACCTGTCTTAAATACTGACTTAACATCTCTGCTTGAAATAGTTAAACCATGTAACTATAGTCACTGCCACTGTTCCAGACGAATAATGAGAGGAGTAAACCGACTATAGATATTCCTTACCAGAGGTCTGTCCAGACATTTTGTGAAAGGTCCTGTTTTTGTAAAATTGTGAAAAAATTACTCGTAATTTGTGAATATAAAATAAATGTTAAGTCACATTCTTTCAACCAGGGTCCTTATTTTGTTAAAGTAGGATCCTGTAATTGCAAACAATTTTTTCAAGGAGTTTTTACATTGATAGATAGAATTGTAAATAGATAGGGAAGATTATGCGCAACACTGAAAATTTATAATAAAAAAATTTAATTTTCAAAAATAAACAGCAATTGCTGCGACTAAATTAGAGATGCAACACACAAATATTTGGTATTTAGCTTATACTGCTGAACGCAGAATATTCATTTCGGACGAAAAAAGGAAGAAGCGTCTGCCGAAGACAAAACTTAGTTTGTTTACATCTGTCTTTCTCCCACACCCCGGGGAGCGTTTATTCGATTAACAAAACAATAATGAAGATAAACAAATTTTTGAAGGGTCCGATTAAAAGATAAATTATTTTGTGAAGGGTCCGTTTTCAAGTTAAAATATTTTGTGAAGGGTCTGTTTTTAAGAAAAGATATTTTGTGAAGGGTCCGTTTACAGATCCAAATTTCATTGTTAACAGACACCTGCTTACATAAAATTAATAATAAGAAAAATTAAAATTCATGTTAAAAAACAGTTTAAAAAACTACAATTTATTACGACCTACGGGGCAGGTACTCCTTGACGACGTCAGCTTGGTTGTCATTATTATATTTTTCATTGTTATCTTCCTTGCTTACAATTTACATAACATTATTTATTTTCTATTTAGCTATTTACATAAAAGTTTAAAGATTATTTTGATTTGGTTATTTTTATTGATTTTAGAGACGATTTCTTGAATTTTTAAAAAAAAAACATAAAAAAAATAATTTTTAAAATATTACGTGCAAATTTTTAAACAGTAATTATACTACAGTGGCCAAAAATACACCTACTGTGTATAAGATAATAGCAGTGAAAATGCTAGTTCACCTCATGGTTAGTGCATTTTTAAAAAGAGTCACTAAGAGTACTTAAGCAGACACTCCAAGGAAAGCAAATAAAAAATAATTTGGATAAATTAAAAAAATTAAAGAGATAAGGAAAAAAAAGTGGCCTAATCTTCAACTTATGACATTTAATTGAAAAATATTAAATATTAATTTATAACAATTCAATAATTAAACGCACTTAATGACACACACAGAAAAATTTCAAAATTATAATGTAATAAGTTATTAATGTTGTTTTGATAACATATCTAATTTTGAGTCAAAGCACTTTCCACCCTGCCCAATTTAAAAACCTAAATTGCAAGTCATCATACATCAAATATATAATTTTATTATTAATTAATATTAAGGAAACTTATTATAATATGTATTATAGCTGGCAATAAACAGAAACCAACAAAACGGAAAATAATAACATGAATCTTTGTACCAATGATGTTGTCTTATGCAACTTTTTAATGCCAACAAGCCTACTTTAATCAAATTTTTGTACTTAAATCCTGTATTAACAGTAAACTGACAGATGATAATGTTAAAAATGAAGATAGTTTATTAGATTTGACAACAGTCGACATATTTAAAGAATCACTAACATTAAAACTATTTAGCATTATCAATTACAAAAAACATAAAATTAATTCATATCATTTTTAAAAGCAATTTTCTATTAATTGCATTTAAACTTAAAATNCAGTCAACATATTTAAAGAATCACTAACATTAAAACTATTTAGCATTATCAATTACAAAAAAACATAAAATTAATTCATATCATTTTTAAAAGCAATTTTCTATTAATTGCATTTAAACTTAAAATACAACAATATAATAAATATGATTGAATTATAAATTCAATTCAACATAAAATAAGAATTTTAAAAAATTATAACACTTATAGAAATAGAATGTACTACTTTAATGAAATTAGTAAAATAAGATAATGAAAAAAATCCTGCATCAATCAGAATGGAGCATTAGAAATCAAAAATTCGCCATTTAAGAATATAAAATAGACGTATTTATATGAAAGCAAAACATTAAAAAAACAAGAACTATGAAGATTTATTGCTAAATAAAGTACAATATTGAACAAATGGTTTAAAAATAAAATTTTTTTAATTAATAATGTTATAAAAATGTTAGTTAAATAAAAATATGTCTTACTAAACACTAAAATTTACCACTCATAATTACCACGTTTACAAAAAATGTTTGACAGAAAAGTTTTAATTGCTGATTCAAGAATTTTAAAATTTTCTGCTATGTTTTACAAAAATGAACAAGCCAATGAAAGAAAGAAATATGAGCTATTTGTTTACGATGCAGGTAAATAGCTTACGAAATAGTCTTTTACTCTGCAGAAATTCGAAAAGAGCTCAAATAGAATCTCAAGTTTACATTTGTGTTGGGAGAAAGATCGTAAAATCTATTTATATCACACTAAGAAGAAAACAAAACTATTGGATAAAAAGGAAAAGAAAAAAAATAACCAAGATAACTACATATTCCTACGTTTTTGCCATCATAATAAATTATTTGTCAGCTACAGGTTGTAAACATCAATTATTCATTGTTTACTTTGATTAGTTTCACTAATTATCGTTTAATTAATTTGTAATTTTGTACAAAAGTTACATAATCCCACTTTGTCACCGGTAGTTCTAAAATTTCATCCAAGGTTTGTTTACTAATAAAACAAATAGCGTTTGTGTTGCCAGCCCTAAAGTTCTAAAGTAGAGAAAATGAAATGAAATTTAAGATATATTTGGCAACGTAAACTGATATAGTCACGGTTATGGTTATTAATGGTTTTGTTGTAAACAATCACGATCTGAAAAAGTTGGTGTAAGTTTAATTGGCATTTTTAATTGCATAGCTCCGACCAAAGCTTAATCAAGTAATATATTTACGAACCTTTCGACAAAGGTAAATATCAAGATACTGTTCATAAAATGTATTGAATATGACAATAATTTCCTTTCAGTATTTATATCAGATTACCAATTTAAAAATGCCTTCCTAAATAAGTTTGTATGAATGCATGTTAATTTAGTGAAACTGCATATAAATTCAGATTTTTTTTCTTATGTTTCGAATATTATCCCTAAAATGACCTTTTCAGTGTAATTACTAACATTCAGATTACAAGTAGGAAAGACCTAAATTCATCCCCTAAATTTAATTTTTCCCCCAATTTTATCTATTCTTTTTTTAAGGCTACAATAAAATAATGTTTATCACGAGAATAAAAACTTCTTGCCCGAAATTTAAACTGAGTAAATCTTTAATGCCGTGAAATTTTGTGAGAGTTAATACAAAAATTACTGTTTAATAATAGTGATTACAATGTTAAAGTTAAAATAAGTTTAAAATGCTTGTTTAGACTTATTGCAGATTGTGTATTTTGTAACCTACTGTTGATTCAGAAATTGTCCAAAATATTTTTAGCTGCAAGGTGCTCTTTATTTTAATTAAATTATGTTTAAAATAAATAACAATAATGTTTGTTTCAAGTGTTCTCATTAAACACTTTTTTTTAAACTTCATTTATGTTACTAAGCAGGTATTAAAGGCCATTACAAAAGCCCTTAAACAGAAGTATGTATTGTGAAATGGTCAAGTATGTAATATTAAGGACCAATTTAGTTCAGTAGTGATGTAGTATACGTTTGCGTATTTACAGGTTAGCTTGCTTGTGAGAAAATTAGTAGAAATAGATTTTGCTGAAAAGTTCTAAAATGGTATGTAGTTGTTTAATTTGTTGCCTGTTTATTGCAGGAATTATTATTTTCTATTTATTTGTATTTTCTGTATTTGTATTTTGTGCTATGATAACCTGTATCTGTTTGTTCAACCCTTTTTATTGCAAAAAGAAGCAAGAGATATTTTAAATTTTATTCTCTTGCAGCTCTTTTGACGTAGAGTTAGAGCTCTCCAGTTCTATATAAAAGCATTTTTGATTTATTATCAAAACTCTTAAAAAAATAATATGTATGTATATATATACATATTTTATGTGCCTAATTTTAGTAATTACTTCTATTTTTATAATTGTTAATTACAAATGTTAATTGCCACAGTGAAACTAAATGAATGAAATCTAAATCTGCAAGGAAAGGGCAACCAAGCCTACGCCTTGTTAGAAGGAGTATGTTTCAGGGATGAAAGACTTCCGCGAAAAAGCGGAAATCCGCTTTTTTCTCCCAATTTTTAAAATTTCCGACCATGTTCCAAAAACTAAAATTTTTGGGGAATCCAATTAGAGAACCCAAGCCTCCCGAACGATAGTCGGATTACCGCGACTTCCGCTATAGAGTGGAAAGGAGTCTAAGCGTTTCGTTTCCGACCGCCGATATTTGATTTGTTTTGTTTGGCTGATTTTCGGAATTTTAAATATTAGGAACTGCCCCGGAATCTGCTAAAATCGCGGTTTTTAATACGACGATTTTAATATCTATCATCGATTTTCGTATTTAACTGATTTAAAAGCCGTACTAGCAATTCCTATTCACTCAATTTAAAAATCCAATATTGCGATTTGTATTTAAGCGTTTTTTAAAACCCAACATCGCAATTTGTATTCTCGTGAGTTTAAAATCCAACATTGCAGTTCATATTCACTCATTTTTAAATCCAATATTACGATTCGTTATCACACAGTTGTAATATCAAGTATTGTTTTTCTTATTTGTACGCTATTTAAAAATTACTCATTACGATTAGTATTCACGTGATGTAAAAATTATGCATCACGATTCTTAATTACGCGATTTAAAAGTTCAATATCGCAATTAGTATTTTTGTGTTTTTAAAATCCAACAGCGAGATTCATATTCACGTGATTTTAAAATCCAAAATCGCAATTCATATTCACACGATTTTAAAATCCAACCGCACGATTCATATTCATGCGATTTTAAAATCCAACCGCACGATTCATATTCACGAAATTTTTAAATCCAATACCGCGATTCATATTCACGCGATTTTGAAATCCAAAATCGCGATTCATATTCACACGATTTTAAAATGCAATATCGTGATTCATATTCACGCTATTTTAAAATGCAATATCGTGATTCTTGAAAGAAGTAGAAGTAAGTTTTCTGTAAGGATGTGGTATATTTTTCATTAGTAAGTAATTTAATAGTCGTGCCTTCCTTGCTTAATTTTTTTTTAATATAGTAGTGGTCACAATTTTAAAATTATATTTAAGAAAAATTTAAAGTTAACTGTCGAAATACTTCTGCCACTTTAAATATTAAATAAAAATATCCCAGCATAGTTAAAAGTTGCTTTTATAAATCTCAGTATCATATAGAGCACTCCCCCCCTTCTCCTCCCAGGGGCCTGCATTGTAAAAGTTCAGCTTTTTTATTTTTGTCCACTTTCATGCCTGATGTTTGTTTAAAAAAAAAGACTTCTTTTTGTTGAAGACATGGTGAGTGATAAATTACATCATTTAAAAAATCTGAAGCAATATTGTAATGGGACCAATTCGACTATTGATACGAATTACTTCAGCATCGCCTTAAAAAACATGAAGGATGGATTCGCTGAGAGATTCAAGAAATTAAAAACAAACAAAAGTACTCTCTCGTTCATTGCAAATCCTCTACACAAATGCAAATGAGATTGACATTGAAATGTTTGGAATTGTGGCTAGATCCCTTTTAATGCAATTGATGGATTTGAAAACCAAAGACTAGTGAAGTTCACAGAACCCAAAAGCAAGTTGGAGGTCCTGAAATGCATGCACATCGCCTAGCACAAGTGGACAGCTCTAAAGGAAATTTCGCGAGTTAAAGCCTTCATATTTGATGCATGGAATGATCTTATATGGCTATTGTGAGGTGAAGAAGTTTGCATATGAAGTGCTGACGATCTTCGGGTCGACATATTCGTGAGAGCAAGCTTTTTCTTTCATGAGTATAATAAAGAGTCAAGTTAGAATTCAACTCACAAATAAAAATCTAGAGTTGTGCTTGAAACTTAAAACAAGTTATAAGCCAGACTTTTAAAAGGCCTGCAGAGCCAATGCTCCCATTGATATAACTATCTATATTTGTGTTTTTATATGAATAAATATTATTCTGTATTTAAAGCCATTTATTTTAAATTAAAAATAAAATCAAAGTATTTGTAAGCAAATACTGTAATATTAAATCAAAATTTTTTAGTGGCTCTTTAAAAACTGGGAAATTTTGTAATTTTTGGCTCTTCCATTTCAATAGATTGCGGACCCCTGACTTAGAACAATTTACCTTTAGTCATACATATTTAAAATAAGATTTCTCAGGAAAAACTCCATTAAAATTTAGTGTTTTGCCTCATAAAATTATACTCTATATGAAGTAAAAGAATTTATATACCTTACACTTGCAACTCAATATTTTTTTACTGTTATAAAGTATGATGATTATAAGGTATGAATAAATTTTTTTTTCTTCTTGGCATGTTTGTTAGATGAAAGAATTTTATAATCGTGTCCAATAATTTTTCTATTAACTAAAAAAATTATTGAGATATGGTGAAATAGATTAAAGATAAAATTTATTTTAAGGGAACCATATTTTCCAGATTCTTTTTATATTTTGAGGGAAAGGTATCCAAATCCGCTGAAAAACATTGGTAATCCTAAACCCAAAAATTGGGTTAGCTGTTCAGCAACAGTTATGAAATAAAATAAGTATTAGCTTATCTAGAAAGTAAAAACGGTTAATGCAAATTCCATATTCCAGTAGTCTTTTAGTTTCTGAATAATAGTCTTTTTTTTTCAGTCTTTTAAATTTTTTTGGTTTAAAATAAAAATAAATTTTTGTGCTTTTAGTTTCTTGATGTTTCTACAAATACAGATAATTTGTGTCTGGCTGATATATTTTATTTAGCTAATTTGGTTATGCACTATTTATTTTTATAATTAAAATACAATAATGAATGTTCCTCGTTATAATAAATTTTTCATGTTATCGGAAATTCAACAGCATCCATAAATATATATTGTAAAACTACTTGAGCTTATTATCTGGGAATGCAGCTGAATCATCAAATGATTTTTGGCTCGGGGTCCATGATTATTATTATTTTATTTATTTTTAACTAAAGATAGCAATATTTTGTTATTTTAGATTTTCTTATGTTTTCATCTTTATTACAGAGTAATCTGAAGAAAATGGATGATGACAATCATTCGATTGATTCCCCTGCTCAGAGTAATCCAGGAACTCCATTGCCAAGTAATCCGGGTACTCCACGTAATGACAAAAATGATGACATTGCTCTTGTTACATCCACGTCTTGTTATCCCGCACCTCAGACAAGTGGATCGGGATCTTCACGTCAACAACCAAAGCCAAAGTATTCCCAACTTCTTGCAATCATTGAAGAATTGGGTAAAGACATACGTCCTACATATGCTGGAAGTAGGAGTTCCGCCGAAAGACTAAAACGTGGTATAATCCATGCTCGTATTCTAGTAAGAGAGTGCTTAATGGAAACTGAGAGAAATGCTAGATCTTGATACTGTTCATTATTATTTATAAGGCAATCAAGCACTTGACTTCAGTACTTTTTTTTAACGATCTATGCAACTATATGTATTATAATATGGACTAAATTGGGAAAAATACATCTTCATTTTTATCTCTTCTGAACAATGAAAAAAAATGTAACTTATTTTATTTGTATGATATTCTAAAAATTAATTCAAGATATTGGACCCTGTTTTTTTATATATATATATAAATATCATCTACTTTGTTTTGTTTCAATTGCAAATTTTCTATTTAAGAGAATGTTTCTGAAATGAAGAACTTGGGGCAATATAATGATAAGCTATTCTTGAGAATAATTCAAAATTGAGAATGTTTTTGTCAAAAAATATGTGAATTTTTATTTAATCAGTAATATGTCTTTGGGTTTTGTGGTTTAAAATTGTTAAGTACCTATCTGAAAACAATACTAAGAAACATTTTTATTAAAAAAATTTCACCTTTAGAAAAGTTTAGTTTTTTTCCTTAAATTTCGCTGCACTCTTCTGTAATATTAATACAAAAATTAAGTTTATAAATAATAGTTCATATGATATTTATTAAATTAACCTTTGTGTGTTTAATGAATTACTTTAATTCCTATGAAAAATGTTAGACTTTGAATCTTCTACTTATTATTTCTAAAACACGATTGTTAAACATAGTTGTGCTTTTCTTATTTTGAGGAAATTTATGATAATTCTGATGTGAAATTCTGCTATTTTATTGATATGCTATATGATCTAATTGAACAACACCCGGTGTTATATAAATACATTTTTGACTCATGTATTTTAAAAATAATCTGAATATTTGTTGAAAGATATTGATTTTTTCAGATGGAATTTATTAGGCATTTAAGTAAAGTGTACACCGAGGAGAAATTTTATAGTGCATAAATATATTTTTTTTATTACTATTTTCAAGATTACTGTCTTTTAATTATAAAATTGATAACTTTTTTTTATCAGGTAATCATATTCATATTCTTGGGATTATCTTCATGTTCATTATCAAGCAACATAAATCATCACTTTCTGAAACATTGTGCTGTCAGTTTAAGTTAGCAACTTACAATTAATGACAATTAGTTTTAGTTGCTTGAACGTAAATTTTAATATGTTGAAAAAACCTTTTTCCTTATTAGATTACTATTTTTTGAATTTTATGATTTTGAAGTTTATTTTGATCTTGATTAAACAAATCTTTAATTTTTGTATGATTAAAATAAATGCAGAAACAAAAAGAAGGATTTTATTATAAGTTTTAAAAAAATATATTTCTGTATGCAATGTTTGATATCAAAAGTTGTTATTCATATTAAAGAATCACAATCACAAAGCACTACAATTGAACACGTAAGGAAGAAATCTTGCGTGTTTTTTCTTCTTTGAGCAATATTACCAGTTTTTAGCTAATCCATTTATGAGCAGTTTCTTCTAAATTACAATCACTCTTCAGGGATCTGTCTAGGTTTTTCTAAGAGGTACCTATTTTGTGAGAATTTAGACATAATTTGTGTAAAATTAAAAATTGTAATTAAAAAATCAGCAAAAAAAATATGGTAAATATATGGATTCATCGTTTCTTACGGGATACAAAAATAAAATTTTAAGAAAAAGTATTTTGTGAAACTATTGTTTTTCCTGAAGTTGAATTTGTGAAGGTACTGCTAAACGGTAGTAAATTTGCCCTGGACAGACCCCTGCTCTTTAACAGGTGTTTAGTCAGGATACTAATTTAGTTATGTTAAAAAAAAAATTTCATGAAAAGTTGTGTGGGTGACACACATGATACTTTGTTCAAATATATTTGACCTATATTTTCCTACCCAATGCTTCAGTGTTTTCTATTTACTCCTAATATGTTTCATTTATTGTTTTAATTATGATAAATTTTCACAGATTGTATTAATCTGGGTATTCTGTTAATTATATTTTTTCTCTCATTTTTAAATCATTGCTTTTAATCATCTGTTAATATTTATTACTTATATTTAAAAAGCAATATACAAATCACTAAGTCTATAGTGCTATTTGCTAATCAACCTATTATTATTACTTATTCCAATTGCTTTTTTTAATAAAAATATAATCTGTCCTGTGTTTACATATTATGGTATTTTGACATTTTAAATAAAGTAGTTTTTTTTAACGAATGAGTTTCTTTTTTTCTCAAAATCACAAAACTCATTAATACATAGAACCTTACTTATGTATTTACATTTTAGAATATTTAATTTAAAAAATGTTCTATTAGCTATTTCTAGGATCAAAACTATATCTTATGCTCTGCAATAAAGCTTTGATAATTAAAAATGTTTTGTGGATATACATAAAAAATAAAAAGCTTCACTAGTTAATTTATTACCATTTAATTTTAAATTATAGTTTTATTTTGAAACCTTAATTTGTGATAGTCAAATTATTAATAACACATGAAATCTTTGTCATGACGTGGTAATTTACTTTTACAGCATTTGCAATTGTGTTGAAAACAGAGATGTATTGAGAATAAGTATTATCAAGACTAAAAATTTCTTGGACCGGGAACTTTACTCCTTTGCACTAATATTATATGTAATTAATTTAAATCCCAATATTACACTAAATATAAATTAGGGGCAGATTTCTCTATGACCATAGCTTGCTCTGAACATAAATTATTCTGCAGCTATTGTTCTGCAATGTACATTTCAATTTATTGCAGTGTCTCATCATTGAGCTCTCTGTTTTAGGGTAACTATTTATCATACTTTCTGTAGATAGGGTGGATCTAAAAGCCTTTATAATTCAATATTTTTTATACCTAAAACAATGATGTTATTAATTATTTTTCTAATTAACACAGATGGAGAAATTATGTATATACATTGAAACTTCTATGAGAAATCTTCTTCTACAACACTTTTTATGCTCCGATTTTTCACTCAATCGTAATGTTATGAAGTCTTATATTAGGCGACCGATTATCAACCCCCTTGATTTTCCCTTACAACATGAAAAAATATTGATCAAATAAATTTTTATTCTTTTCAAGCATTAATTCAGAAGAGAGTCATTCAGCGCAACAATAAACTTACAACGACAACACAACAGTTGAAAACTAGTAGATTTTTTCGCAACCAATTTGGAGAGTATTTATTTTTTATAATGAATATATTATAGTATTTATTTTACAATGCTTTCTTTACAGATACTTTAACCACTGATTTAAAATAAAACAATCCGAAAGTAATTCATTTTTTAAAACCTTTTCAATTTTAAAGGATATGTCGGTAGAATGGCTCATGCACAATACAGTACAGAATGTTTGTTTTTTTTAATGGAGAATTTTAATATTTATATTTGTGGGTTAATTGTTTTGGGAAATATTGAAAATTCTGGGTACAACCACCTCTCTTAACAACCAAATTATTCACATAATGAAGGGTTAATTCTTGAAACGAATGATGTACATTAAATTATTTTAATCAGCTAACCAACTGTCTAGTATTCAACATAATTTGAAGGAAGTACTCTCACTATTTGTAAGTAAAGTCTACATTAATTATTAGTATAGTTGAAATTTGTTTGTAAACATAACTCTAGTTTATTTTCTATAAATTTTATTAATTATCTATGAAATATTATATATTATATGATCACTAACTTTTTATGTATATTTTTATACTTTTAAATTTGTATATGCGTATATCCAATGGTTTTTAAGCACTTATTAACATCAGCCTAGACTTAGCTTAGGGTAAAACCTCGTTAGTTTCCTGAGCAGTAGAACACTTTTTTTTTCATGTTAATCAATGAAAAAGATCAAGTTTCACAAGGAAAATTAAAATATTTGCCCCATGTACTATGACAGTTATAACTTTAGTAACTATTACAGTGTCAATATTTAACTTCCTTTTATAGCAGTGGTATGATTGACCTTAAATTATCTAAAAACGAAACATGATTTTAAAAAAATATTAGTTTGATATTTAGTTTTTATTTTTAGGTTATATGCTTAGCAATGGATGGCTCTAGTAAAAAGTGCTATGAAACTGAATTCCTTTATAATGATACAACTGAATTTTATGCTGATTCTGTGGAATGGTGTCCTTTTAGTAAATATGCAGATTATTTAGCATGTGGAACTTATCAATTAGAAGAAGTTAGTAAATTTTGATTATTTTTTTCATAAAATAATTAGCTATTTTAATTACAGTAATTTTTTTATTTATAATTGATGCTTGCTCACTATATATAAATGAAGTTTTTAATGAAACATTTTTCTTTATAACTGAATAGTTTTATTTAAAAACCATTAATTGGATTGTTTATGAATGACTTTAAAGAAGAGATTTTAAAACTAAATCATGCAAATATTTTAAACTTATCTGTAGAAATTCACTTTTCATTTTTTCTATTTAATTATTTATTAACTACATAAAATAATTATAATGCTAGTTAAATTTTTCTATGAGATTTGATTAATTGATATATTAATTTGTTCTTTTCTTTTTCTGATCAATTGTCAATTACTTGTAGTTGCCTTAAATTTGATGCGAACTACATTTAAAATGCTACTATAAATATCAACCTACATGTATGAACTGAAAATAATACCTTAATAGTTTCCAATGTTACATTGTAAGTTTCTTGAAATGCTATTAAAAATATAACAATCCTTACCTGAAGTGGTTTTAACTTTGTTTCATCAATTTCTTTGTCATACTAACATCTTTTTCATCTTATAAATAATTTGTATCATTTTTACCTTTTATAATTCATGCTGAAATTATATATGTAAGTAAACATCTTACGCAAAAAATATAAATCAAAATTTGCAAGTGAAACTATTTTATTTATTTATTATTGATTTTACATATATGGGGTGCTACGTAACTAATGCTCACAACTGTGAAAGATTCCCGAACAACAAATTACTTTTTAGTGTACAATCTGGGATTAATAAACAAAAGACGAGCCCAGAGAGAGAGAGAGCACCTGCATGTTGAAAATGGAAAATACAATCAAGACAAACATTAAAAGCACAAATAATTTTTTATTATTAAAACTTCGCAATAATTACTCAAACATTTGACAACTAGGTGCGATACAGGCTACACATCAGCTATATATTGAACCATGCAGAATTTTTTGCATTTCACTAAATCCTGCTTTAGAGATGTTTCATTAATACTTTAAGTGCCAGTGTTCTATAATGACCTGACTGGCGTTTCATAAGCAGGGCCATCTTAATAGCATGAAAGTCCCCGGGCACAGAAATGTTACAACATGTGATACTAGGGCCGGAATAGCCTGGCACTGGGCCCATATCCAAAAGGGCGTGAGTTCGATCTCTGTCGGCCGATGACTCCCCATGTAGTTACTGGTGACTGAGGCACATTAAATTTGTAGAGTTACAAAGCCCCCCCCCCTGTTCTCATAACAAATCATACCTCTGGGGGTTCTGATACAGGAGTTTCCTTGTCTTCTGGATTGCTTCAAATTAAAAGGCTACGGAGTGGAACATTAGTAGTCGTAAACCTGAAATTGGGTCGACTGTTCAACGACGGTTATAAAATATTAAATAAAAAATGTGATACTATTTCAAATCGAATCGAACATTGCATTTACAGAAAATATAGCATTTTTTTAACTATGCATAATTTTTTTTTTAAAAATTGAGACGGTAACCAGTTGTAATCCTCGAATAATAGAACAACTTTGAAAACCATGGAAGCTAATTGAAATAATTTTTTTTTTAAAAAAAGTATAATGGTATAACAAATTTTAAAAAAATCAAAAGGTATGAATTATGTTGTCAAACTTAGCATGCATTAAAACATCTTTTAATGCACAATGAGACATAACCAGTTTAAAAGTTTTTGTGCAATTCTAAACTCTTTGGATTAATACTTTGTTTAACTAATTGTAAATACTGAGTTAGTGGTGGTCAAGCATTTTTAGAGACATTATAACTTAAGATTAGACATTATGAGACACTGTCTGAGTATTAGGGGGGCCGGAAAATAATATCGTTTCGGTGCATTTGATATTTGTTATCAAGATATTATTTTTCGTCAATAATGTTATTCATGTTAGCAACAGCCTTTCAATCCCGGATGAAAAAAAATGAATTGGTTTTTAAGACTAACGGATATTTAATGAGCCAAAACGACATTTCTTACCGGTCCCCCTAATAATTTATCTCAACAGACACCCTCTCGCTGATTGGCCTCTCTTTATCGACCCCACATTGAAGACGATTGTTTGTTTTGACTAATTCTATCACCCTTTACTCTCTGGTCCACTAGTTTTGCTACACTCTATGTATTGTAAATTAATTATATATTATTTATTGCATTACACTAATTGTTGTATATTACTTCACAATATTATAATTATTTCTATATTACTTCATTTTTATTTCAAAAGTCAATCATAAATGGCTGCTAATTTTATAAAAAGAAAAGTTTTTTTTTTCGTAGACTGAAGTGAAATCAGATGAAACTCAAACTCGTAAAGGAGGTGTAACCTTATATCGGCTCTTATGTAAAGAAGAAAATGTTACTCTAAGAAAAATTTATTCATATGATTCCTGTGGAGTCTTGGATATGAAATGGTGTCCACAGCTCTATGGAAATTGTGCATATCTGATTGTAGCCTGTAGTAGTGGCCAGGTTTTATTACTGAAATTAGTGGATGAGGAAAACTCTGTTTCACTTAAACTAGAAAGTTGCCAAACTCTTGAGAAAAACACAAAAAACATGGTTTTATCTATAGATCGGTCCTGTGAATCAGAAATGTAAGTTTTGAAAATTTTATGATGTATAGAACTTGTTTCAAGTAATTAAAATGAGGTTCATTTAATGTTCTTTACACAAAATGTTTTTAATCACATATAAATTTCTTTTTCTTTATTTGTTAATCTATATAATTGTGCAAACTTTTTAGTTTATTTTAAATATTTTTTACTGTATCAAGTTTGTCTAAAAATGTACTTGTTATTATTGCTTTTCAAAATTGGAAACAAAAGTTATGTTAAAATAAAGTTTATCCTATTTCGAAATTTTCGCAGGAGCTACTTCAAATACAATACTTTAATTTTGAATATAATTTATTCTTTTCATCTGCTAGTTTGTCTGCATAAGCCTATTTATTGTGTGTATACATGCATTTTGAAAAAATGCCAACTGATTTTATTATTCAATTCAAGCTTTCATTTACTAAATAAACAACTCTTAGAAAATTTTTATTAGTCGTCTATTTTTTGGTCAAAACAAATTATTGTACCTATAATAATAGTTTTAAAAAAAAATGTAAAATTTCATGCAATTTTTTTTTTAGAACTTCTCAACGAGAAAAGAAAATATTTACATTATTTTATTAGCTGTCATAGAATTGTCTTGAACATTGTAGTGAAATATTTAACTGCATTTATATAAATGTCATTTTTGTAATTCTTTCTCTTTGTTTTGCAATGCTTACACATTAAAAAACAAATATAAGCTATGATTATATAGCTATCATTTGGACAACAAACAAAATTTAATTATTTTAATTTGGACGTTGACAGTGTTACTAGGGAAATTCTCACCAATAGGCTAGCCTATTGGTAAAAAAAAATTTCAGAGAGAGGAATATTATGTGATGTTAAAATAATTGTATATTAATATAAACAGAGCTTATATCAAATGTGCATAGTGCCATCTATTAAAATCTTTCCCACAAAGAGTGTTGTGCTTTTCATTTAATTTGCTTAGAAAACATGATGTGGCTTTCTATAGCATGGGAAAGTGACCAGTCTCACATTACTAAGGTCTATTAATATTTTAATATTGTTCACAAAGATATAAAACCCTTTCCAAGAACAAGCACTTTCTTCTTAATCTAATTAGCAACATTTTTGCAGGACATATCTCTCCCTGCCTTTGTGTTTAATAAATTTTTCTTCTGTTTCTATATTTTTGAAACACCACCCTGCTATTTATAACTTCTTGTTTCAAAATATATTAAAAATGTTTTGTATGTATATAATCAATTATCAATTTTAGGAATATTATTGCTTCAGATACTTTAGGAAGTTTGAACTATCTGACGCTTAAAGATAGTAGTTTACTCTTGCTAAATCGTTGGAAGGCACACAATTTTGAATCTTGGATTTGTGCATTCGATTATGCCCAACCTCATATGTTATTTTCAGGTAATTTAGGTTTATTTAATGAAATAATATGGCTGTATAATGTATCAAACTGTAATTTGATATTTTCTTGTGTATACTATATATAATAGTAACTTGATATTTTCCTTACAAAATATGTATTTTTTAGGTGGAGATGATTGCTGTTTTAAAGGATGGGATTTAAGAAGTTTATCATCTAGTATTTTTGTTAATAAAAGGTATTAGCATATAAAATATTATAAAACTTCTATCTAAACTTTTGAGGAGTATTGGAATATTGAGCACGAGTTTTATTTTAAAATTTAATTTGAATTGTTATAATAAGCCACATTTTGTTTTAGCATTGATGTCAAATGTTAACTACTTTGCTTTCAATGTTTAAAATTTGTGATTAATTGTAATTTGAACCTACATTCAACCATTTAGTATCAGTTAGTTAACATTATTCTTTTGTACATCCTACTTTACCTATTTTTATTAATTAAAAAATGTGTTTCTCAGTTTTGCATTGTGTGAAAATGCATTATTTTGTATCCAAAATTGTACCTTTATTAATGTGACTATGTTGTAGAGTAACATTTATTATTATTTTTATTTTTTTGCTCTCAATTAAAACAATAGTAGCATTAATAACAAATCACTCTGTTTAGGCATTCTATGGGTGTGACTGCAATATCAAAGAGCACAAAAAGAGAACATTTGTTGGTAACTGGAAGGTACCTATATCTTTAGTTCCTTTTTTATCCTCCTGGAAACCGATATTATTGAATTTTAAGTTGTTTTATATTACACAGTTAGCTAGTTTTAAATTATTACTTTAAAGTACTTTGAGCTGTGTTCAATTATTAATGACTGCGATCGCTACGCTGCCTTGCAACTCCATTCAGTGTTATATAGATATTTGTTTGTTAGATTACCATGTTTATATAGTTTATCTTTTATTTTGTTTATGGAGTTTTATTGAATCATAATTTTATTTAATTTATTTATGTTTGTTTAAAAAAGAGCTGAGGGATGTCACCTAAATCCACACCAATACTGCACACATAATCGTATTTTATTTTGGAGGCATTTTGAATTACAATTAAATTGAAGTTATTAAATACAAAATAATCTAAAATATAAACAATCAACATCCCTTCTACCTTCAGCAGGCCGTGGTAAAATTACCAAACAATAACTGGTCCGCTGTGATAAAAAGGTTGGGGAGCACTGGTCTAAATGACCTCATATGTAAATGTTTAAATTGGTGTTTAATAGTAGACAAAATACAAAATTCTTTAACACTAGAAAAAATATTTTCTTAAACTATGGAGACTCCATAGCAGTTGGAGTCTGCATTGGTTCTCTATTACCACAGTACAAATAGTACCTATTACCACAATTAATTAGCATCTCTGAAATCACTATTTTGGTGATTTTTTAAGGTATATTGAAACACATAAGTACCAAATAATCTTTAAAGTTTTTTGATATTTTGAAATTAATATTTCTCTCTTTAGCTATGATGAAAATATATTCTTGTGGGACACAAGATCAATAAAATCCCCACTCTCTGAAGTATTAGTCGGAGGTGGTGTGTGGAGATTAAAATGGCATCCCTACAATCCAGATTATTTACTGTCAGCCTCAATGCACAATGGATTTCACGTTTTGTCTGTAACAAGTAAGCTTTATTCCAATTCAAAATGCTTTCGATGTTATTCCATGCATGTTTCTTTCAAGAAAAATGCCTTTATAACACATGTAATGTAAAAATATATGTACCATATTTTTTGCTTTTTAAAAACTAAATTATAATTTCATTTACTATTATTTTCAATAAAATAAATCATTAATATAATCGGTATTATTTTAATTCATAAACCTTGAGATGACTTAAGAAAATTTTATATTATACTTATTTTGCAAGCTGCCAACCTAAAATTCTGAATATAAATAATGTCTGTAACTAATCAAGAATTTGATAAGTTTGAGTTCCCTAATGCAAAGAATGTTAATGTTCCAGCAATCAAGTACTTAGAAAGTTGTATTTTAACCTGCAATCTACTTAGCACTATAAAACCAACAATAAAAATAGGTTCTAATAGTATTTTAGTGTTATCTACTTCTTATCATTATTTTTATTTATTTAATTATTCAGGAAGTTTAGAAAAAAAAAGCTTATGAAAACATTATTTATAGAACAGAACAATTAAAATAATTTCCATCTATTTACCGTATATTATACATGTAAAATGTCTGAAATTTTATAAGCTACAGCTTATTATTTTTCCTGTAGTTGTTATACATGAAAAGAAATAAATTGACAAAATTTTATTTTCAATCAATGATTTTAATCTGGTTTTCTGAAATTAGTTATGGTTTAGATGTATAATCATAAACAGAAAACATATTAATATCTTGCAGTTAATCCACAGCAACTCTTAACAACAAGGGGAATTAAAATCCATTAAATGAAAATTCTGAGTTAAAGGAGAAAAATTTAATTTTTTCCTCTTCTCTTAGTATTTAATGTTTAGTCATGTAATATTGCTTGAAGTTCACAAGGAGTTGGTTAGACAACTACAATATTTGCTAGTCCTCAATGACGGCTTGTAGCCCACCCTGCTTCAGATCAATGGATACCAGCTAGTTGGGATGCAAAAACACAATACTACAGTCACGCTGTTTACCACAAAATTGTAAAGCCTCACCTTTCATGACAACCCATACCCACAACAAGCTGTTGTGGGAATGCTTTGCCTTTTTTTACAAAAATTGCTACTATAAATATAATGATGTAAATATTACTTTTTCATTATTAGATTTAAAGTAGAATATATTTTTATTTTTAGGTGATAGTTTGAACATTATAAGTGACTATAAAAAACATGAATCTTTGGCCTATGGAGTTGATTGGTGTTGGCTGAATGCTCAGAATGACGATCCATTGAAGGAATTTAACTCAAGTTCGAACAAAAGCAATTTTGTTGCTTCTTGTTCTTTTTACGACAAATTATTGCATGTTTGGAAAATCAATTTGTAATATTTCAGTAAATTTTAATGCTGTTTTATTTTGAGCTTGCAATTTATTTTATTATTGCATTTTTTTCCTGATATATATGTATATATATACACAGTTTGTTAATAAAATAAATACTCTCAAATTTTGCTGAGATTGTACTGAAAATTCATATATATATTTTTAAGATTTAATTATTTACCAAATTTATGTTTGACAGTCATAAGAAGTAGAAAAAAGTTTTTTTTTTTAAACTCTTTGTTTGGTTGATTTCACGTCTTTTGCATTCTATAAATTCTAGACAACGAAGAGTTTTAGCATATGCTTTCAGCAATTATTTATTTCTTGAACAATATACCTGTATGGTGACTAAATTCTAAAACACAGTAAAATAGGATAAACTCTAAAACATATTCCTTCAAGATATGATTTAAATTGTTATCGATTTTTGTGCTCCGATTTAAAAAATGAAATATAATGTAATTAATATATACTTTAAATTTTTAGCATAGATTTTAAATATATTTTTTATGTTATTTTATCTATAATATTTTACTTTAAACGCACAAATATCAGTTAAATGATTTTCTTTTTCTATGGAGGTTATAATGAGTCAATATGGATTTAATGAATTATGATGATAAGTGGCCAATGTGTGTAAACAGTAATGTTTAGGCATAAATTTTTTTTGCAAAATTATTCAAAAGTATTTCACTTTTTTAAGCAACTATTTTATTATATTAAAGATATAATCTTTATGCTCTACATAAGACAAGTATGGATTGGATTCCATGGGGCCAGTTCTCCATCATGACAAAGGGCTTGCCAAGAGAAATGTGTCTTTTTAGCATTAGCAAATTATGTACTATAATTTTTTAATATGATTTATTCTACAAGAAATTTTTAAAAATATAAAATTTTGCAAATGATAAAATTTATTAGCACTTTCTGAAATGTAGAATTTCTTATTATATAGTCAGGCCCTGAACACTGATGAAAACTATTGATAATGGGTTGTCGTAAATATCTATTTAATTAAGCATTAATCAAAAACATGCTTTAGTTTTCGATGAAACTTTAGTTGGCATTATAGTGTCATAAAATTATTTATCTTAGGTGAAAATTCCTTATAAACTATTCAGGGACTTTGTATTGAGATGACTAATCATTAAATCAGTAATATATATGTGGAAAAAATTAACATGTAATAGAAATATTAGCAACAACATAGTTTTTTTATTAAAGCAAATGGGTTGCTGTTTGTCTAAGACAGGTACTCACACAACCACTAAGTCTACGGCAGTCTGGTGCTATGGAAACAAGAAGAGGACAATTTAGGGAGGGTAGCTTCAATGAAAGAGATCTCTTTTCTCGCCGAAACCAGTCCTGAAAAGGGATCCTGCACCCCTACTTGAAATTATCATACCTCGTTTCCATAGTCACCGCCACAGCTCCAGACGAATGTCTGGCAGAGTACCCATCTTAGACACCAGGGGGTGACACGCTAGGTTAGGTACACTAGGGTGGCACAACCTGCGGTCCATCGATTATTGATATACGGCCTGCGAGAGCTTTTGAACACAAAAACATGGCGAAAATTTTGAATCGTACATTTGAGTTATCACTTTTTGATGCACTTGAATAGATTTAGAGAAATTGATAGAATTATCGCTGATACTCAGATGCGCAATTCATATTAGATATTTGTGGATTATATCGAGAACATATGAGATATGTCGCGTTTATATTCGTATTTGAAAAAAAATTTGACAATCAACAACAGTAACTGCCGAAAAAGAGGTCAAAACACTGCATAGATTCAGCGTGAATCCACGATTTAAAGGTTGATTACTCAGATGTAAAAAGTGATTATCAACGGAAAAAGATGTTATTCATTTCAAGAAGTAATTACTCAAATACGTGATTACTTGTGATAATAATATAATATGGAAATAGTATGAAGTATATAATATGGAATAACAAAATCGAGGTTTTTAAAAACCGTGTGAAAATAAGAAGCAACTTTGCTAGAAGTTCGATCGAAAGAAACAGAGGTATCGTAGCGTCAAGAAATGATTAATCACATGCGTGATTCGAATTTCGTGAGTCGTAATAATATCCGTGTTTTAGAAACATTGAGAAAATAGCAATAACTGCCAAAAGAAAAAGAATATTATCCAAATAACGCGTGGATTTAAAATGAAGTCGAGTACGTTGAAAAGTTATTAGTCAAATCAGGATCCAAAATTTCGATTTCATATTATCTTATTAAAAATATAAATTCGATCCAATTGTAACCTTCGAAGCAGAATTTGTAACAAAATATGCTCAAATTTTTTAAGTTTATTTGTTGTTGTTGTTCATTTACGTCGCACTAGAGCTGCACAATGGGCTATTGGCAACGGTCTGGGAAACATCCCGGAGGATGATCCGAAGACATGCCATCACAATTTTGATCCTCTACAGAGGGGGTGGCGCCTCCGCTTCGGTAGCCCGACAACCTGCACGCGAAGTCGAGCACTTTACGGTAGCACAGTTTAACGAGGACCAATACCGCACACCCTCGGTCTCTATGCAGACTGATCCAAGTGGTCACCCACCCGCAACCAGTGATGCTTGACTTCGGTGATCTGATGGGAACCGTGTCTTAACGATCAGTCCACTGCTATAGTTTTACATATTTAAAAAAAATGAAAACTTTCAAGAGAAGGAACAGAATCATCCTTTTAATTATCGTTTTTATACTTTTCCCTCAGGAAGAAGATCAAGGATATCCACACATATGGGCACCTATGACGTCAGCTCCAGATGATCATTTATAAGCAAAATGGCGAGTTAAACAAGAAAAAAGTCTCTCCACATAAGTTACAATGCTAAATAACGTGAAGTTGATTAAATGAAGAGCCATATCGCTTATCGAATTTGTTGAATTATAATTCTTCTACGTCTTCGCGCTTCTAGAGCACTTGCATGTGCATGCGTTCATTTACGGAAACAGAATGCAGTGAGAATGTCCTTTTTATGAGAATTTTACTCGTGACCGTAATTGTTATATAATAATGCAACACTTAACGTTGGCAGCTTTCATTTCCTTTTGTTTGTCAACAATAGACAAGCCTAAACGACGAACAGAACAGATCTTCGAAAATACGTTAAAAACGTTTCTAATCAATAATTAGCCTGATATTTGAATAGAAAATATGGGAGAAAGCTCCACAATGACGATGCAGGATCGTCTGCAAAAATTTAAAGAACTGCAGTTCAGACGAAAAGAGTCTCGTAAGCTCAACTATGATGAAGTTGTGGAAGAAGATCGTCGAGCAAAACTTCCTGCAAATTATGAAAAGAAAAACAAATGGGCTCAGTACTTCATTGAACAGGAGGAAAGAAAGCAAGAGGCAGAAGCCAAAGGAGTAGATTACAAGCGAATGAAATTGCTTGATGTGACTGCTGAAGAAGCAGCTAAATGGGATCGTTTAAAGAAAAAAAAGAACCCTGATCCTGGATTTTCAAACTACGAAGAGGCAGCTGTTCGTCAGTATGAAAGACAAACCAAGAAAATGAAACCAAATATGGACGCTTATCAGAGAGAAAAAGCAAAGATGGGTGATGCATTTTATCCTACAAAGGACACAATTATTCATGGCATACAAGAAGACAGCAAAGAAAGTATTGATAATATGGTGCAAGACTTAGATAAACAGATTGAAAGACACCAGAAATTTAGTAGACGACGTCGTTATAATGATGATGAAGATATTAATTACATTAATGAACGTAACATGAAATTTAACAAGAAACTCGAGCGTTTCTATGGAAAATATACAGCAGAAATCAAACAAAATCTCGAAAGAGGCACTGCTGTGTGATTCTGTTCTATATGTGTTTAAAAAACTAAACATTATTTAAAAAAAAACAAAGTGTATACACAGGAAAAGATTCTAAGTGTATAATTTACTAACATTTCCATATTGTTAAAACTTTTTCATTGAAGCAAATTTTGATAAATTTGTCTTTTCTCCAACTTGATTGTAGTATTTAAAAAGATTAAATGAAAACTTTGTGAATTAAACTGAAAGTTTCTTTTAATTAAAACATTGTTATTGAGTTATATTTAAGCTATATAGATTTTAAACATAAATAAAAAAAACTTGTAAAATTTTTAATTGGTTGTATTCTATGTCAATAATACATATTTTCAAGCAAGAATTATGTTAATAAACTTAAGTTATTAATAAATTAAGTAATTAATTTTGATAAATTTAAGTGGTATTTCTTTTTTTTTTTAAATTTGAATATGATTGCATTAAAAAAACCTTTCTGAGTTTTCTCATAACTACTAAGAATTAGAATTGATACAAAAAGCATGACCATGCTAATTATTTTGATTAAATACTTCACGCAGAAATAGCAAACTTTTTATTCAGGAGGATTTTGCATACACTAAGTTTCAGAAAGAATTCTGCAGCTTAAGCAAGAGACACGGATTTTTAATATATATCCTCAGGGGTCTGTCCAAGCCAAATTTACTACTGTTTAGCGGTACCTCCACAAATTCAACTTCAGGAAAAATGGTAGTTTCGCAAAATACTTATTCTTAAAATTTTATTTTTGCGTCTCGTAAGAAATGATAAATCCTTATTTTTACCAATATTTTTGTGTTGATTTTTTAATATAATTTTTAATTTTCAAAAATTATGTCTAAATTTTCACAAAATAGGTACCTCTTAGAAAAACATAGACAGACCCCTGATCCTAATTCAATACCAGCTATAAGATATTGTTAAAAAAAATTACTGACCTAAGAATTGATACAATATTGATGAAAAAATTTTGGGTTATGGCAGAAATACACTAAAATGTAACATATTTGTTCTTTAAATCGAAGGAAGTATTTAATATTCCTTGGACCAAATCAGCCAGAACTAACAGCTTTTCCAGCTAATAATGAAATTCCTCAGTCCAAGCAAAGATGTTTTAATCTTAGCTGGTATAAATAAAATACACACATTTGAAATACAGCGTATTTAAAGACGCTGCATTTTGCTTTGTTTGCAGTCTCTTCCCTGTATGTACTAATAAGGAATTAACTGGTGATGTGCCATGGATTGACGATGTTAGGCAATGGCATAAAATGAAGAGTGTTGATAGTAATAAACTAGGCAAACTCGCAAGCCATTTCTCCTCGTGCAATCACAAAAAAGCACTAGAAGATTATTGTAACTTCCTTTCAGATTCCTAACACGTTGATGAGTGTTTTAGAAAAAATCTACAATAAAAAAGCAGTGAATTTACTCCTTGATGTTGTGCGAACTTTAAGCAGACAAGAGCTCGCTTTAAAAGGAGAAAGATAGAAATTTGAATCAATTTTTCGAACTTTTATCGAGGCATAATTACTTGATGAAGCGATGGCTTGAGGATCGTAACATCAGACCCTACCACGTAAGCTATATGACCCCAATATCGCAAAATGAATTTTTGTATATATTTGCGCGAGCTATATAGAAGCTTATAGTTTATGAAGTCCAAAAATCAGGTATGTTTGTGATCATGGCAGATACCACACCTGACACCTCTCAGAGATCAGCTGTCCATAGTCATTCGATATGTGGATGATAAAGGAAATCCAAACGAGAGGCTCTTAAAAATAACAGAAGCAAAAGATAAAACAGGCTCTGCAATTGCTAATCTGATTTTCAAGTTATTAAATGAATTGCAATTGCTAAGCAGTCAGTTAGTGTTTCAGTGTTATGATTATGCTAGTTCTAAGTCCGGTGAACACCAAGGAGCTCAAAGAAAACTTTCCGACATCGTGGAACGTAATATTCAATGCCAAGCACATCGCTTGAATACATTTACTCAACATGTATGTGAAGCGAATGCCTTAGTCGGTCTTTTATTGGATGATCTTCACATTTGTGTGAAGAATTGTCAAACTTTGAATATGCATTGCAGTTAAAAAATTTGTCTCAAACACGCTGGACCAACAGATCTGAGTCTGTAAAAGCCGTTTGGCAGTTCTTTGCTGTTATAATATCTGCTCTCGATGATATTTCAACCTCAAAAAAATTTGACTCAAAGACAAGACTTAGGGCATCAGGATTACACAGAAAATGCTTTCATTTGATTTTATTTCTACAATACTGTTCATGATAAATGTATCGTATAAGTTTAAAAAAGCTTTACAAGCAGAAAAAGCTTTATATTATCAATGCTTCCATTCTAATTGAAAGCACCATAAAATATTTAGAAGATATTAATCATAATAAAAAGAGCATGGACGACTTATTGGAAAGTGCAATTGCATTTTCCAAAAGATAAGAAATTGATCCATTCATGGAATTTAAAAAACATCACAGAAGAAGGATTGCTCCAAAAAGTTTGGACGAGAATGCAGGAACTCAAGCTAAGTATTCTTTGAAAGATTTTTATCGCAAAGAATTTTCAGCAGTGTTAGACACAATGATTACCTTATGCAAGGACAATTTGCAAACGTTTGTCAATGTTTTAAAACCCCTGTTTGACATTTTAAAGCCTCCTATAGAAAGAGACCGATGTACTTTGGAAATGTTGAAAGAGTTCTTTCACTTTTCCCCGCGCACTTAGAAAGTTCAGATCCTCTGGCAGTTCAAGCAGAACTTGAGATTCTCTGTGATCATTGCAAAGAATACTCTAACCTAATGTCAGTAATAAAAAAATCAGAGGACCTGAAGAAAATATTGCCTTTGGCAAATTCAGTTTGTCGCTTAGCATTAACTACACCAGTGACAGTTGCGACAAATGAAAGAACTTTCAGCAAGCTGAAATTGGTTAAAGACTATCTTCGAACAACAATGACTGATGAGCACTTAAATTCGCTGCTTTTACTCAAAGCAGAAAAAGATATTGTTGACAATATTAAGCTTGATAAGTTGCAGAACATTTTTCACTTTTAAAACAACGCTGAATTAAATTTACCTAGCTAATATAATTAATAAAACTTAACTTTGCTAATATCTTAATTTTTTTTTTTTTTTTATGTGAATTATAGTTTATAGTTTTTTTCATGTATAATTTAAATGGCAAATATTTTTAATGTTTTTCTACATTATTTTTTTAGAAATGAAAGGACAATTTACTTATAAATCAATTTTGTTTTGAATCAATTTCTGATAGAGGACTGTATTTGCTGATTATGACTTACTTCCTTATCTTCTAACAATTGCTCTAATTAGCTTTTTGGTAACAACATTTAGATGAAACAAAAGATAAGTTTAATAACAAAGAATTTTTCAAAAAAATATTTAAATATTAAGTAAAAGTATTTAAAAGTTGCTTTGAAAAACACTTAAATTTACAACTTTATTTTTTAAAATTATTTCCACATATTGATTACTATTACTGAAAACTTAATAGGTTTTAGTTTATTTAATAAACAGTTATTTTTTTACCAATTTAATAATAAAAATTAATAGAAATTTAAAAACTATATTTTCTTTTTTATTTTGAATAATTACTGGTACCATTCAGCAATCAATAATACCACTGTAAAAATTATTTATGACAGTTGGCAAAATAAACTTCAAAACCCCCCCTCTCACGAATCGGTTAGTGACGGGCCTGGATACACTCACTATTCCTTTTATTATTTTAGATTGGTAGCCAACCTGTGACAGTCAAGATTTACTCAACCTATGTAATTTTTCCAGTGAGGTTGCCCTTAATTGCTTAACTTTTATTATAAAATTTAATTTCCTGATGAATTTACTTATTTAGGTTTTCAGGAAAATAGTTTAAAAGTCTATTGTGATATTAAAATTGCATATATAAAATAGTATAGGTTATTTTAGAAGGAGGTTTCCAATTATATTCTTCAATTCTAATTTAAAAAAAAGGGATTTAGTACTTGTGTAATATCTGCTTGACCTTTTTTTCCAAATCTGAAAATAAATTTGAATGTGGGTCAAATTTAAATATTTCTTCATTTTATGCAAGCAATAAGTTTTATTTGTAATATGTTTATTTCTTGATCATCAATTACTAAGTAAAATTAAATTTGGAAGATACTAAAATGACCTAGGCGCATTGTTGGTGAAAATGGTTAACTGGCTAATATACATTTGATGAGGATCCTACTAAGCAAATATCTACATTAAAAATGAGAATATTTCTCAATTTTCAACTGCCTTACAAACTTGAATATATGATAGAAAGTAAATTTCTTAAGTTTAATTGTCTGTTAGAATTTTTAATTAGAGTAACAATATTATATTATCTTAAGTTTGGGGCTTTCAATGCTCAACCCCTTAGCTTTATAATTTTGAACCCAACCCAGAAGACAAGGGAACCCCTGAATAAAGCACTGGAGCAAACTAACCTTTGTGGAAGACTTTTTAATAGAACTAACCTGCATTTGCATTACGTAAAGAAAACATCTCAGGGTTAGCCTGATGGAAAGGGGACTCTAACCCAAATGTGCCACTGAAGTATTTTATGTCAGCATTGAGGTTTTACAAGCCAGGAGCAGAATTCATATCAACCAAACCGCCATTGGAATTTGTACCTGAGCTCTAACCCCTGAACCAGTGCAGCTCAACAATTTTGTTAATGAGGTTCAAGATAAACAAATTAATCTATTCTCTTCATTGATTTTTGTAATGCTAGTAAAAATGAAAGAACATATTAGCTGATCACCAGAGAACTAAACAACTTAAGCATTTATTATTATAGAAAAGAAATAAATCCTGTCTCCACACACATCTAATGCAGCTTGTGCCACATTCTAATAAATGAAAAACTATAAAATAATGAAGAATAATTATACTCAAGCGAACTTAACCAATAAGCATTGTATATAGGTAGTACAATATATAATATTTTGTCACTATAGAATATTTTGCAATAATATTGTTTAGAATCTTGTTAAAAGAAGCAACAAATACAGATTTTATTGATAAATATAATAGTATTTATAAAGAAAATCAGAAATCAAATAAAAGTCTTCTATGAAAAAAGAAAAGAAAAAACCTCAAAAATGTGCATAAGCTTGGCTTATTTATTAGTATCTATTAGATCCAGATATAACTGTTTCTT